ATAAAGGAAACCTCGAAACACCACATAGAAATAAAGCTAAAATAACACATTCTAATGAAAACTGAAGGGGCACCTGGGTGGCTCAGTTGGTTGAGCATCTGCCTTTGGCTCAGGTCATGATCTCAGGGTCCTGGGATCGAGCCCTGAGTCAGGCTCTCTGCTCAACAGGGAGTCTGCTTCTCTCTCTCCCTCTCTTCTCTCTCTCTTTCTCTCTCTCTAATAAATAATTAAAATCTTTAAAAACAATTGAAGTTGCTTATACTGTAGCTCAAAAGAATATCATATTCTTCCAAGTAGCATAGAAGTGCCTAAAGCATGGCAGAGTGAGTCAGGAGATGCTACTTCCAACTTGAGGAACATGGCATTTGCATGGAGCTTTAAAGGACTGAGGCTTTTCAACTTAGAGACACAAACTTGAAGACTTGTTTGGATAATACTAAATAGAATGATATGGAGAAATACTGGGTATATGAAGGAAATAGAAGGATGTACCACCAGAAAGGCACTGAGGAATCAGCCCATTGCAAAAAGTGGATCATCAAACTATAAAGACAGGGTATGCTCTAACAGAGTTTATCACATACATAAACTACAAAGTTTAGTTGAAGCTTCTGTAATTTGAAAGAAGCGACAGGTACTTGAGAAATGATGTGACAAGAATACAGGAAACTATAAAAATTGCTGAGAAACATTAGAAATTGGAAAACATTTGTTAAAGTAATTCTGCCTAAGAGTATATATCTCAGGTTGTCTTTACATCTTTTAACAAACAAACACAACTCTAGACTGAATCTAAGTTGAATCATTTCTGAAAATCAAAACTGTCAAGACAGAAAGCTGGAAACGTGAGAAGTTCTGGGTGAATGACAGATCTGTGTCACCCTTGGTAAACCCAACCTGCACTCCCCAGGAAACAGAGAATTGACTGTACTTTCTGCGGACTTTGGACAATAGGTTTCCCACCTATGTTCACTCTGTTTAAGACCCTTGATGAGTAGTCCTTCAAAGTCATTTCTGAAGCTTTTTTTCCTTTTGTCCGAGGACTTCAGACTGGCAGCTCATGAAGGCTGATCTTTAGTTCTACGGATGACTGTTATCAACTTCCAGCTCAGACTCCTAGGTTCACTATGCAACTGGCTGCTTGAAGAGCCATAAAATTGCTATTGCACAGTTTAGTGACTCCTAACATTTGTCATGACACTGATTGTAAGAGTATTCTAGCTCACTGAATTTTTGTAATAAAAAGTGGCCACTGTATCTATACGCATACTATATAGAAGTTGTCTAGACAAACTGAAATTTTCACATGTTCTTCTGGATATTTTCCTCCGCATTTGTGGCTGGAGGTTATTTAAGCCTACCCTTCCCTAAAACAAGTTTGCAATTCTCTTCTATTTTCTTTTCAGGCCTTCTGAGGAATTCTCTTTCCCAGGGCCCAAAAAGGGCCATATCATATCATTTCCACACCGTTCTATTATCTACTTGATGTATCTATGGAGACACTTTTTAAACAGAACATAACGTACTCCTGGATCTTCTCACGTGTAGCAACGTTAAGGCTATTCTGAACAGGTTGATTAATTTCATATGTAACAAAAAATAATGCTGAATTCAACTGCACTAATAACATTTCTTGTTAATGAATATTTCCTGAAAAGCTAAAATTTACTATTTGCCAATAAATTTTAGTTTAACCTCAACTTTTAGACAGTATGTTTAATATATCTTTTTAAATTTCTACTCAAGAAATGATAATAATGAATACTTATAAGTAGCTGTTAACAAATTAGAAATATAAATCTTCAAAATACATATGAAATATGTAAAGCTATAACTGACCTCACTGTATTATTCTAATTAAAGTAATTTTTATCAAAGAATATATAAAATTGTGAACAGGGAAATTATATATATATAATATATATAACATATATTATATATATATGTATTTCTCCATTTGAAGAGATGATCCAAATTTACTTATGTAAAAACTTGTCATCACTGACAACATTTTTATGTAACACAGAAATAGCCATTTTTCTATTCATCAAAAGTGATTCATCAAACATATTAAAATGTTTCTTTTAACTTGATTCATTTATATTTTTTGCCTTAAATTAAGTTAATGGATTTTAAACTTCCTCCTCTCCTTTTTCCACTATATTCATGGTTTTTAACCACAAACTCAGACTGATAACCGAAAATTCAAGTTCCCATGCTTTGGTTGATTCTTAAGGACAAAGACTGATAACATATTAGATCAACAGGTAAGGCCTATAAAAAGTAAGACAAGACCGTGGAAAATAAAATACAGTCAATATGCAATTATCTAATCAACCCATCTGTATATATATTGCAAGACCTTTTTTTCCTGCTTATTTTTCTATTCCTCAAACAATTCTTAGTTGTCTCAGGACTTTCCATATAAATACCCTGCTCTCCACTTCATTTTGCTGAACCTCTTTCATGAATGCAGATATTAAATACCTTTGTTTAGTTTAAGTTTTATGGTCTGTTTCAGTTAGGCCCAACATAGATTGACTGAAAAAAAGGGGGGGGGGTGTTGACTCATATACATGGCCAGTTCAGTAGATTTGGCTTCAGATAAAGCTTTAGGGCTCAAATGATGTGGAGAAGATTTTCTCTCTCTTTCCCACCCCCACTCATTATTCACTTGTACCTTCCTTGTGTTGGTCCATTTTCAGGTGGGCTATACTCTCAAGGTCCCAGAAAAGTTACCAAGAGGTCCCGGGGCTACAGTCTTTTTTTGTTCAGCTATAGTGTTAAAGTGAGTCATTGCTCAAATAAATTCCAGAAACTGAGTTGTGGTCCTGTTTGGCCAAGATCATCCTTGAAGCAACCATTATAATATGGTTGATGTGATATGCCAATAGACTTGAGCTAAGAAGGATCTATTTCTGGAGCTTGGGGTGTGGCCAAACATATTCATACTATATTGCTGGAAAATGTTGGCAACAGTTCAAAGAGGGGGAGGGGCAAATGGATGCTAAGAAAGCAAATATGATAGGCGAATTCCACTATGCTCTTGTCTGGATTGTGGAGAATTTGGATTTGTTATATACAAAGGATTAAATGGGTACAATAAATAATTAGTTGATTTGTACATGCATTTTTTTTTAAAGATTTTATTTATTTATTTGACAGAGAGAGACACAGCGAGAGAGGGAACACAAGCAGGGGGAGTGGGAGAGGGAGAAGCAGGCTTCCCGCGGAGCAGGGAGCCCGACGCGGGGCTCGATCCCAGGACCTGGGATCATGACCTGAGCCGAAGGCAGACGCTTAACGACTGAGCCACCCAGGCGCCCCTGTACATGCATTTTTAATGTACTCCTGCCTAACTTCTCTGTGAAGATTTTCCTATACTGAGGCTCAAGTCAAAGAAAATTCCACAATCAGATATAATTGTAATATGCTTCAAATTAATTTTTTATTCTATAAACTATAAGCATTGCTCTTATTGCCCCAAAATATAGCACTTCATTCTGTATCCTTTCCATGTCCCAGCCTGATATATATCACAATGAGCAAATAATGTGTTCATGTGTTTATGAGAAAACATAAAAGTTAATTAATTATCGTGGCTGTATCATAAGTATTATTATCCAAAACACTGTGGGTAGAAGCTTGTTACCCTACATTTAAGACTAGTTTAAATTTAACAACTTACAACTCACTCAGACTGCTCCATCACTATTTGGTAAATCTAAATGTACTTAAAAAGATGATGAAAGGAGTACCCCTTATTTCATTATAACATGAAATATCTACATCTACAAATTTTTCTAAAAACAATAATAGCTACTATATCCATGAGGAAAACTTGATATGGCATAATTCCTTACAAAAGCAGACCTATCCTGTTGCTTTTTTAACAGTGTTTTCCTTAGAACTAAAGTATTATCATACTGTTTTTACATATTTTAACAAATAGAGCCCACAATCAATTTGTAGGGCTCAGAATAAAAGACAATAAAAAATGAAAAAACAAAACAAAACAAAACAAAAAGATCCTCAAAGACTTCTTCCTTCCTGCTTTGAGGACCTAGACTTATCAGTGTTTTCTATATTTCCTACCCGCTCAATCAATAATCAGTTTAGGAGGCACTCAAATGACAGGGCTTTGAAAAGTGTATGCGTGTCTCTAACAGAGGGCAATCCTGTATGTATTCAGGTTTGGGGTTTCTTTTTAGGTGTCTTCAAAACATTTTTTTTTTTTTTTAATGCTTTTGTTGTCAAGAGAAAAGCAGATGAGATAAAACATGGGTCGTTGAGCCCCCCGGTCTGGACACAGAAACAAGTCCTCACGTTGAATTTTACAACGACTAGATACAAATTTAACAATATGTAAAGAGAGTCTCTTCTTTAGAACTCTAATGCTGAGGCTGGAGGCAGAAATAATATGCAGCCCGTGGCTCACACCCCACCACAGGTAGCTTAACTACTTCAGTTTTATACAGTGTGTTCCAACAAGGCCTGACAAACTGCACTGAGGTGCAAGAAGCATCTCAGGCGATGATGCGTAAAGACACAGGGATTTTTTAAGTCAATCGCAGGAATTAGGCTTTAATGCTTTCTACTAAAAGACTTCATACCCCAGATAGCTGACTGCTATTCACTGAATCTTGGCAGCCCACAAGACTGCTGAAGCTGAAACGAGGAAGCTATGTTAAGCAGATTTTCGTGAATGTACAAAATGCTTTATTTGTAAAGCTGCTTTTCTTTGTTGCAGTTTAAAATGCTTTTTGCTTCCCCCCTCTTTTTTTTGATCTCTCAGTTTGATCAACTCTCAGTCTTTATCAAAATTACTTTCCAGAAATGTCCCTTAAAGAGCCACAGGAGAGAAATAAATGCTCACCTCATCAAAAAATACACTTTTTTTTTTTAAGGAATAATTCAAAACATGTCAATTTAAGAGATTACAAATGATCATGGTCCTTACAAAAACTACACAATACACAGAAAGACATGAAATACTTTACCATTATCTGGAAGTTCTAGAGGGCTACAGACACCGTTTTTGGTTCTGCTGTTTGGTGAAGAGATCAGTTTCTCAGCGAGAGATGCCGAGATGGGCTGAACTAGCAGAGACGTGAGGTTTGATCGGTTTTGCCTAAAGCTTCCATCTGGATCAGAAAGAGAAGGGAACAGAATCCTTAGCAAACAGAAATTAAAAACACTTGGAGACATTTTTTGTAATGAGTATTTAAAATATGAACCATATGTTTATCTTAGTTCATTTGTTTATACCTTAGTTATACTCTACTTATTAAAGATGATTTGAGGTACTTCAGTCCAAATACTATTATGTATCCTAGTTAATAATGGCAGATTATACACATGCATCTACCTCCATTCTCCCATAGAACTCCACTGAAATGACGATAAAGGAATAAAAAAGCATAAATCCACAGGAGCTGACCAAAGAGAAGGGACAGTAGCAATAAGATTTTAAAAGCTAGAAAGCAGATGCGTAAGTATCAACTGATGTAACAGACCCAAGGAGACCAAAACCTAAGCCAGCAGAGGGTAAGCTGAGAAGCAATGCAGTTTGTACCACAGAACCCAGAAAGGCCTAAGAATTGGCCACAGCGCCTACCTATTAAAACATGGGTAAAGGAGGGCGCCTGGGTGGCTCAGTCAGTCAAGTGGCTGCCTTCAGCTTAGGTCATGATCCCAGGGTCCTGGGATCAAGTCCCACATTGGGCTCCCTGCTCAGCGGGGAGTCTGCTTTTCCCTCTCCCACTACCCCCTGCTCATGATCTCTCTCTCTCTCTGTCTCAAATGAATAAATAAAACCTTTAAAAAAAACCATATAAATAAAGGAGGGGGGAAACAGGAGAATTTGATGAAATTCTAATTGTGAAGGTATCTCTCCTCCTGAAGTGGTCATTCATGCCTTCAATCAAAAGAGTGCCGATTCCTCCCCCCACTCCCTCAGAAAAGTGAAAGGGGATGCTGAACAGGGAGGAAGACACCAGACACAGTTAAGGGGGGTGGTATCTCATATTTAAAATGGGATGGTCTTATAATTGCAGAGACTTCTCAAATGTTTTACTGTCTTGGTGCCCAGAATCCTTCCTTCCAGGTAGGGCAATAGGAAATTCACTTGTAGTAAATAACCAGGTCAATGGAGACTATATAAAAATACTGAAAATCTGGAAGTCCACCAATAAAACACCTCACCAGAGACATCCTATGTTAAAGTCCATCAGTCAATAAACCCCATCCTTATACAGAATTTTAAATCAACTCAATTTTGCCATTCTTAAGTAGGCACCCTCAGCTAAGGACAATCCTAGAAGGCACACATGCATCAGAGCTTATGAGGAGAAGAGTAAGGGGGTCAGGAGGCTCAGGGAAGGAGGTCTCCAGGAAGACAAAGGAGAATTGAAAAACCAGATGTGTGCTAATGTATTGAGAGAATATTTACAGTAGAACTCAGAGAGTTAGCATGTGAAGAGCTTCCAGATACATAGAAAAATAAGAAATCTAACCATCAGACAACCTTTAGCTTCAGAGGGAGCAAAAAGTTGTTCAAGAAAGAAATGTAATCATCATACAATGTAATAATATTTACATAGTCAAAATTATATAAATAATGACTAACACACACACAAAATGATACTCTTGGGAAAAAAAAAAAGAAAAGGGCAAAAGTCAGGGGTGATGGCCTATGGAGACTTGTGAAAGCAAACTAAATCTTTATCTTCCATACTGGTAATGAATAAAACTGAAAAAATGAATTCACTGATAAATATGTTTTGAGAGACAGAGAGGTAAATATAAAATGTAGGGAACAACTAAAACTACTGAAAGAAACTGAGTGTTTGCTTTGGGTGAGAAAGGAAAGAGAAAACATAGGGAAGGAGGGGAGAAGATGAGATTTTTGTAAACTAACTTTGTAGAATTATTTGAATATATTTATCTATAACTTTGAGAAAAATAAAAATAAGGAGAGAAAACTATCTGACAGAAGTAAAAGAAAAATCCACAAGTACTCAGAGTAAAGAGGATGGAGAGAATAAACTAAACTGTGCTTAAGAACTAAAAAATGTTTTCGGTTGATATATTTATACTGACTCAGAGAGGAAATACACAGTGGAATGACTCTCTCTAGCAGCCAAAATGTCTGTGAACACAGAGCTTTATTTTTCAGAACTTTTATTAGGGAAAATGATTGCCAAAGGTTTTCTCAGAATTTAATTTGATAGGACTGCAGGGGGTGCAGAGCTCAACCATACTGGTATCCAGGCTCCTGGAGGCAGATTATAAATGAGAAAATATGTTACAGAAGTGTTTCCTTAATTTATCATCTTGAAAACCACAAGGCTAAAAAAAAAAAAAAAAAATGATATTTAGCTTAGGCCTATGGCAGCCATAGCAGTCCTAACTTTGAAGTAAAAATAATAAAGATTCGAGCTCAGGATCAGGTTTGTGATGTAAACACAGTGCTGGTTACATAATCCGGGAACCCCTTTTATATGGATATATGACGGTGCATTTTGACCACAGGGTAGTTCATTGCTTCCTAGCAATTTTCATGTCATAGGACCAAGAGTGGCCGTATAATTTGCAGGGCCCAGAGCAAAATGACAATGTGGGACTCCCTGTTCAAAAAGCATGAAGAATCTCAAGACGGTAACAGCAGAGCATTAAATCAAGTGTGGGCCCTTCTGAGTGGGGGCCAGTGCCACTGTGCATACTGCATGGCCGTGAGCCAGGCCTTGCAGGGCTCATACAGCACACGAAGCCATTCAGTGCACCGAGACAACCTGAAGGGAATGTTCACACCTGAAGGAAGCTGCTGTCAGCCTCAGGTGACCAGCCCTGAGTCTCTGCGCTCTAGGTCGCACCCGGGGCCATAGCGGTTAATATCTCAAGGCATAGATGGTGCCCCTCAGCACATCCGCTGGGAAGCCCCGATATAGCCCTCTTACTCTGGTTCCCCAGAATGGATTTCCTCCGTCGCCCATTACCTTCAGGATTTCTAGTGTACATGGGACAGTGAAACAGTATTTATGAGAAATGTGCGATCTGTTATTTTGGTCTTTTCGTGGATGTTAGGTGCTGACACATTACCAACACAAAATGAAACTTTTTAAAATGCTACATGATCTCACCCCTCCCCAGATCGAATGCCGAACTCTTTGGTTTGCCATTCAAGGCTCTTCACAATCTCAGACCTTCTATTTTGAACGTTATTTCCGATCGTTCGTCTCCACACATTTTAGGCTAACCGTTAAGCTGTCCACCCATGTATTCTGCGCTGTACGTCCTCCAGGTTGTTGCTGCAGCCGTTCCTTGCACTTTACTGGCTATTCTCACGCATCACACTATCCGAACGTTACACTTTCTCTAAAACCCAACTCAAAAGTCACTTTCTACAGGAAGCTTTCTCTGTTGCCCTCATCTCTCTATGTGATATTTCTGCACTTCATTGTAGTCTTTGTCATTTCTAATTAACATTATCATTACATTTCATACTTATCACTTTATCACTTTGTTTCTCCTCTTTAAACTCTTAAATTCCTTGAAGTCTTCTTCATTACTGCATAACACACAAGGCCTAACACAAGGCCAGGAACACAACAGGATCAGCAATTCTTTGAAAAATAGTTTCAATGACACTATCTCACTGGTTTTCTGAATGCCTTGAAGATGGAACAAGGGTACAACTAAAGAATAAATTATAATTTTATTAATCCTATGCCTGCTATACATTTGTGCTTTTTCTCCAGCTAACTGCCTCCCACAGTAGACATATTACATAGACTTTCAAAACCCATCTATCCCCATCAACTCACTGGTTAACCTTGCTGTAAACTTACCTTTTACATGTAAAAAAAAAAACTATTTCCCCCCCCTCATTCTTCCCCTCCCGCTATCATGGAACACTACATCAAAAACTAATGATGTAATGTATGGTGATTAACATAACAATAAAATTTTTTTTAAAAGACTATCTCTATAAATAAAATAATCTGATATGTATTTATCTGTTAATGAAAAAATCAATACCTGCATTTCCTTTTTCTCTATAGTGCTCTATCAGGCATATGAAGCAATATATTTAAGAGTTAAATATGAGTGAAACCTAAACCCTAATTGAACGTATTTAAATCTTTGATTTTTTTTTTTTTTCTGCATGACTAATAGACTTGCATTAGTTTTGAAATATCTGAAGTGGTTCATTAATTTTTCACCTTCAGCTTAATGGAAGTTTGACAAACCGTTCACTTCTGAGAGCAGATAGTAAAAGCAGCACTTTATAGTATACTAAGATTAAATTATGGACAAATGTTATTTTTTTTACTTGTTTATTGAAGAGCTGAGAATTTTATTTTCTTACATTATTAAGAGGCTTTGGCTAAAACCAAATAATATACCATTTTTATTCATTTATATTTTAAAACACATTTATGAACTATAAGGTATGTGTTGAAAATCAGCCAGATTGTGTGCCTGATGGAAAGGGCACCATACAGAAAAGATGTTGACATTACCTCCTAGCACTCCAGCTTTTATTTTTATTTTTTTAAAGATTTAATTAGTTTGAGAGAGAGAGGGAGAGGGAGAGCACAGGAGGGGGGAGGGGCAGAGGGGGGAGGGGCAGAGGCTCCCTCCCTGAGCAGGGAGCCAGATGTGGGGCTGGATCCCAGGACCCCAGGATCATGACCTGAATCAAAGGGAGACGCTTAACCGATTGAGCCACCCAGCCCCAGGACTCCAACTTTTAGATTATAGCATAGATATCATGCCCGGTTCATTGTTTATGCTCAGTAAAGACTGACACTAACTTTTTTTTTTACTAGATAGGTAGTTCTCTCTCCACCTTATGCACTCCTTGAAATCCAGATAAAGATCCAAATCAATCCATGCCATCAATAATCCAATCCCTGACACAAGGCCACATGCATGTAGTAGAAAGAGGAAAAAGGACATAGAGTTCCAAGTCTGACTTTATCACTGACTCTGTGAAATGTAATGTATAGACAATTTCACTATGCCAGTGTTGTCATCCCATCTACTATACCTGAATAACCAAGGTGACACTGAATGGCCTTCATTATTCTGACTTCGTGAAATAAAAAGTGCATTACCTTAGAGGCTGACAGCCTGAACC